CGCATGCTCTGGGGCTCAGATGAGGTGAAGATCTTCATGAAAGTTGTTCCAATGGGTGTGTACTATAACATATCCAAATTTCAGCCCAATTGAACATATCTGGAGTCCTTAGCCCGTCCAACACTGAACCCTACTCAGGAAGATTTGCAGCTGCCAGCTTTTAGCCATGTGCCTCCTTTTATCCATGTGCCTCACCCCAGCTATAACTGACTTTGTACCCAACATAATGAGTGAAGTGGGGAGGCATTCCAGCTATGAAAGTCTAAAGGATCAAGTTGGTACATGCTGGAGCTATTATAGAGAAAGCATGTGCATGCATGTGAAGCAAAAAGAAAGAAAAGAAATGAAATGAAGTCAATTCCAGTCTCTGTTCGACAGCCAACTTGCAAGGCCCAAAACGCACACTTCTACTGCTCCGATGGGAATACTTTCTTCATAGAAGTTGTTCCAATGGGTGTCTAGTATAGCATATCCAAATTTGAGCCCCATTGGATACGTGTTGAAACCTCAGGCCTTCCTACACCAAGACTGGTTCAGAAAACTCATTTTTGTTCAACAACCAAAAGAAGACCACATGGGTGGGCAGCAAAAGGCAGCCACAATTGAACACCTTTGAACACCCATGTGAAGAAAGCTTGAGGTGCAACAAAAGAAGTATGGGCTGGGATTGATTCCAACCACACTAACATAGACAAGATGAAGTGGGAGTTATGGATTGTATTAAAAGAGGAAAGGATGGTGTGGGAATTCATCATGATATTCCTCCCTCTTAGCCTTATAAATGGAGAAGTCTTCAAGCTTCAAATCACACCCCCAAGGGGGGGAGCTCTCAAACACTTCTCTAGAGCTCCCCTCTCTTCTCTCCCTAAAATTCTCTTAGTTTCCTTTCAAGTTGTCAATTGTTGTAACAAAATGATTTTACTAAATTTTCCTTCAAGTTTTCAAGTTCTACTTTAATTTTATTTGTAATGTACATTCTTTCTTAAGTATTCAAGTTTAATTAGTTTCCAAGTTTCAATTATGGTTTTTGTTCTTATTCATTATGCTTATAAGTTAATATGCTAGTTTGAATGATTGATCACCATTTAGGCTTGCATGTTAGCTATCTTGGTTTGAATTAAGAGTAGACATCATGCTTTTGTTTGTGCCTAATAAATCACGGCCGTGAACTGGCCGAAGGAGCCCCTTTTCTCGGTCCTAGCACTTGCTCGTAAAACTGAAACGCAGCGTTTCGCCAAAGTGATTGGCCTTCCTGAAAACAAAAGAAAAATGCTAAGGCATGATCATCTCGGCCTCGATTGTAAGCCGAGGCCGAGGCCGAGCAAAATCGCGGCCAGAGGTATTAAAGTCAAATCATCACGTGATAACAGGGTCCCATATTTCATTTAATGAGGTAGTGCCTCTGTTTATTGCAGCAAACCCACTGGCCACGAATAAACATTTAATGCACGAGAGAAGGTGGGAAGTGACTGAAGTCAGGGATTGGCGACAGAAAACAGAGTGATTAGACGTAGACATTCTCACAAGAATTCTTGCAGCTTGAGAGATTGGGTGACTAACTATCAGAGCAATAAATGCGTCCCCACGGCCAGTTGCACAAAAACCACGATTGGGACGGCGGCCGAGATTCACCAGGATTTATAGGGTCACACCACCATACTTCACGATCCCAAATGTCGATTAGACTACCCACTTGCTCTAATCAGGCTCCACCATGCAGATTTTCAGCCTCAAGTACTCCTCCAAGAACTTTTCCTATAAATACAAGGCTCAAGCTACATTCAAAGGGTTCAAACACCAAACCAAAGCCTCCCACGGAGCAACTTATATTTTCCTGTAATGCACTTTCAATATCTTTACTTGCTTTCCTAGGAGTAGTGTTAGCATGTAAGGAAAATCCATTCATCAATATATCATACGACCCTTGATTTTCAAGGCGCCGGAGCACCATCTTTGTTATTCGCTCATTCACCCCATATATCATACGACCGTCGCTCACTGAGCAGCGCGCCGGAGCACCGCCCAAAACCCACCACCAACACCACCACTAAACGGCCTTGTAGCTCAGGCCGTGAACCTGACAGCTGAGATTAGTTCCTCTCTCGGCTACAATCGTTTGATTAGAAGACGAGTTCAAACAGGCGCACCACTTAACCATTTCCATCCACATCAAACATCTCGACGCACGGTAGATCGTGCTGGCACGCCCGTGCACAACCGCACCGCATCCAAAAGCAGGAAGCCGCGTGTCAACGCATATCCCCTCGGCCCGGAACTCCAGGCCATGAGATTTGCGCGGCAGACAGCTTTAATTCGAATTGAACTATGAATAGGAAGAGTATGTATGGACATTCGAAAACAGGGATTAGATACATGCTTGGTTGTTTAAATTGTTCTTTTATGCTTAATGGGTTCCTAATGCTTAATTTTAGATTAGACAACAAATGATCAAATTAGGGAATTAGGAACACAAGGTTAGGACCAAACACCATGGCTTAATCATACTTTAGCTAGAATCAATCTGTTAATCTAATTGAATTTGGGAACTTATTTGCTTGAGTTATTTCTTTTTTTTTCTTTATTTATTTATGTTCTTGTTCATTTCTATTTTGTGTAGGGGAAACAAATTGGATCATTCAATCACCAATCCTCGTGGGATCGACCTCGCACTTACATATGCTATACTACCAAACGGCTCGTGCACTTGCGAGTATCACAAGTTGAGGATGCAGCTGAATCCATTTTGGTGCAGTTGAATCGACGCAACACTAACCGTCGGTATTTCATAGGATCATTGAGTAAAGCTCCATCTGTGGGTGTGAGTCTGAGATTTTGCTCCATTGGAAACTTATCTGGGCGAGAGCCTAAGAGACCTGCATCTTGTAATATGTCCAAAGTGTATTTCCTTTGAGACATGTAAATACCTTTCTTGGAACGAGAGAACTCAATACCCAAGAAGTATTTTAAATCACCAAGGTCCTTGATGCGAAAATGCTTGAGGAGAAAAGATTTGAGACGCTCCATTTCTTGCAAATCATTCCCTGTGAGAAGTATGTCATCCACATAAATAAGAATTGCTGTAAAAGAATTATTTCGAACCTTGGTGAACAATGAGTAGTACGATTTTGACTGCTGAAAGCCTGCCTGTTGAATAACACCAGAAAATTTGGAAAACCAGTTCCTGGAAGCCTTAAGTCCATAAAGGGACTTATTGAGCCGACATACAGTATTCTCCCCCTGTCGGCGAAGTCCGGGAGGGGGGGTCCATGTACACGAGTTCGTGCAAATCGCCATGGAGGAAGGCATTCTGAACAGTGTGGTGAGTTTGGCTGTAGGAGAGAATGTTTCCTGGTAATCAATGCCTTCCACCTGTGTGTAGCCCTTGACCACAAGCCGGGCTTTGTAACGATCAATGGTGCCATCAGATTTATATTTGAGTTTGAAAACCCATTTACAACCAATGGGTTTATGTCCAGGTGGCAACGGGACAAGAGTCCATGTATTGTTTTGTGCTAAAGCATCTAATTCTGTTTGCATGGCCTGCTGCCATAGGGTGTCCGAGACGAAGGTGCCATAAATTGGAGGTTTGTGAAACTTGACAAGAAACAGGTATCCTTGGCAAAGGCGACATGTAATATAGACCACCACGTTGTTTACCCATACCAATCATCTTCTCGGTAGCCAAGTCATGTAAGACACAAAATGTGGGAAACAAAATAACACAACAATTGAGTGAGTCGGTAATTTTACTGGCTGACATTAAATTCAAATGAAAGGAAGGAACACACAAAACATTATCTAAGGTGATGGTGTTATTGAAAGGAATTGTGCCAACTGAAGTAATTGGTGCGGAAGAATCGGTGGGTAAGTTAACAATGGGAGTGTGAGATGGTTGAGTTTTTGTGAAAAGTGTAGAATCAGATGTAATATGACCTGTGGCCCCACTATCCAAAATCCAAGGTTTGCTAGAAACAGAATTAATTGAAGGGACAGTAAAAGTGGACAGACCTGCTGCATTCACAAATGCATGGTTATTACCAGAGGATGATGCATTGGTGTTGACTAGTGACATGGATGTGGCCAATTGTTGATATTGCTCAGAAGTAAGTCCACCCAAGAATGTCTGAGCTGAAAAGTCTGGAGCTTGAATTGGATTTTGTGAAGGCTGTGTGACACTTGAAGAGCCAGCTTGTTGGGCCGCGTGTGCGGATGGGAATGATGAGCCCGCATGTGGAACAAACCCATGTGATTGCTGTATGAAGGTGCGCGTGTGACTACCAGAGAAACCAGAATTTCGGCGTGAGTTTGCAACTCGATTGGACCCTTGGTTGTCATTCCTGGCATGATTTCCCTGTCCGCTTGAGGTGTAGGTTCCATCCTTGAATCGGCAGGTGTCTTCTGTATGTCCGTTTCGATTACAAAAATTGCAATGGAATTTTAATTGCCTGCAATCTGCAATTACGTGACCATTCCGATCACAATGTTTATTTTTGGAATTGTTTGGATGGCTTTGGATAGCTGCGGCAATAGAAAAGTTCTCGGTTGTTCCCGATGTCATCTGTTGTTGTGTTTCGTCTTGAATGACAAGTGAATAAGCTTGACGGACTTTGGGCAATGATGTTATCATGAGGATGTTGCTGCGAACGCCACTAAATGTGTCATTGAGGCCCATAAGAAATTGCATCATCTTATCTTCTTCTCTTTCTTCGTTGTGAGCTTTCATCTCATTGCAAGTGAGAGGAGTTTTGTATGTCTCTAATTCGTCCCTAAGGCCTTTGAGTTTTGTGAAGTAGGCTGAGACTGTCATGGTGCCCTGTGTGAGAGAGGCGATGGACTTCTGAATCTGATAAATTTGTTGGCGCATTTTTTTGTGAGAATTGGTCTTTGAAATCTTCCCATACTTGATGAGCGGTCTTGGCGTGGACAACCCCTTTGGCTAGATCAGGTTCCACAGAGTGAGCAAGCCATGATAAAATCATACTGTTGCATTGATTCCAAAGAGCATATTCTGTGGGGTTTTCTGTTTCTGATGGCGGCTTAATGGATCCATTGACAAAGCCAATTTTGTTCTTGGCTGTGAGGGCGTGAATCATGGATTTACTCCAAGATGGATAATTGGCGCCGTTCAATTTTGTTGGAACGAGCATATGACTAGGGTGGTCTGAAGAATGAACATAGTATGGATTTGATGTATCCATACCAGAATTGTTGTTGCTATTGCTTGAATTTGTGGAATTGGATTTCTTGGTTTCTGGTGCTTGTTCTTTGTCTAACATGGTGGTTGCAGGTTTGCTGGAGGGTTTTGAAAAGGTTAGGAAATCAGGCACCAGGACATTGCTCTGATACCATGTAAAGAATGTTTGGTTGAAAGGTTTTGTTGTATTGTCAATAGTAGATTACAGCAAAATATATACTACCAATATTACAAAATCTCCGTAGCGTGATCCTCAATTCTAGGGATTGATTTGGATCTGTCTACCTATATCAAGTAACTACTCTATGTACAGTTATAATTAACATATTACAATAATAATATATCAATTACAATATATTATTCTAATAGTTTTAAACAAACTTTTTTCTATATATTTTTATTTTAAAAATATGATACTTTTGCAAGCTTAGGGAGTAGCATTTGCATCAACAAACCAATTTGGGTTGGCCCTTTCACACAGCAACAAATTAGATTATGTGGTAAATAATCTTTTGCAAGCTGCTGTAGGTAGCTTAACGGGTAACATTATTTTTAAGCTCACCCCTAGCATTTTGGATCCTAGGCCTTTACCGAGCTTCTACTTGTGTACATGTCACATCATTTATAGAATTGGCCCCTTCATTGCTGGTTGATGGGTCTACACTGTTATAACTTCTCTTCAATAAAAATGCAGGTTGTTTTGGTGAAGGTACTTCTGTGTCATTACCTAGCATGAAAACAACTGCTGACAAGGTTGGCCGGTCAGTGGCATACTCTTGCACACACAAGAGGGCAATTTGAATGCATCTCACAACTTCATTCACATGGTTTGATTGAGCCAGAGATGAACCAACGATTTCCAAGACTTTACCTTCTCTCCGCAAGTTCCAAACCTAAATAGGATATTACATAATCAAGTTAGTTAGCATGAACAAGTAAAGGATAAGCTACTGGAAAAATCATTGCTTTGCAAATAGGCTACAGTAAACTTACATGGCCAACCAAATTCGAGTCGGGATATTTCTCGTGGTAGTAACCGGAATTTTTTCTGCCAGTAATGATTTCTAGTTGTAAAACGCCAAAACTATATACATCAGACTTTACTGAGAATAGTCCTTCCATTGCATACTCTGGTGACATATAACCACTGCAGTAGCAGTAAAAACAAAAGTGATTATCAAGCTTAATGTACAGAGTTTGTAGTGCTTCAGTTTGTGCTTTTGGAGGAAACTTACTATGTTCCGACCACACGATTTGTACTCGCTTCATTTTGGTCTCTTCCAAATATTCTTGCCATGCCAAAATCTGCAATTTTGGGGTTCATAGCAGAATCCAGCAAAATGTTGCTGGCCTTTAGGTCTCTATGGATGATCCTCAATCTTGAATCTTGATGAAGATATAAGACCCCTCTAGCAATCCCACAAATAATCTCAAATCTTCTTGTCCAATCTAAAAGTGCTTTGTTTGTCTCATCTGGGAAAAGTAAGAAAGTTAATACTACATTCTTGCTTGCTCAGTTCTTTAGTGACATTATAAAAGCATGAAGAATAATACTTACTAAAAATGAAAGAGTCTAAACTCTTGTTTGGCAAGTATTCATAGATTAGCATCTTCTCTTCATCTTGAACGCAGCAACCTAAGATCCTCACAAGGTTCCGGTGTTGGAGTTTTGCGATTAGTACAATTTCATTCTTAAACTCTTCAACTCCTTGACCAGAATGCTTCGATAGTCTTTTCACTGCTACTTCCTTTCCATTATAAAGCACACCCTGAAAGTACTTATATAATCTAAAAGGAGTAAAAAGTGATGCATACGCACATCAAAATTTGACTGATATTAGAAATTATATATACTAAAGCTGATCCGAAGTCACTGTTCCTAGACTGTTCATAGACTGTAGCTTAGGAATAGTTAAATGACGTTTGTGCCCCTGCTTGATTGGTTGCCCTCTTAATTATGTTGACACTGAACAGTAAAATGTCATTTTTGCCCTGATGACCAACGACATAGCCCTTTTGCCCTGTTCGCTTCTCTTCGGAGAAGCCAAAGCCGCTTTACCTCTCAAACCCGCGTTCACTTCTCAAACCAGAAAGAAAGCAGCGTTCATGCGAGAGACAGAGGCCTCAGAGATCATAGTCGTCTAAGAGGGGTAAGCTTTTTAAAGCCTATTGTTTCTTCCAATTGTTCGTCGATTGTTGGCTGACCGATTCTATCGATCTGTTAGTTATATTTCATATAGTGATTGTTTTTCCTTTTTTTAATTTTATATAAAATTGTTTTGGGTTGTGTTTGATTTATGGTTTTTGTTGTTTATGTAATTTCTCTTTTGTTAATTCATATATTGATATATGCGTTTTCTTCTCCAATTTTTCTGTTTTTTTCTTCCTTTTTTAAACCGTGTTTTCTTTGATATATTTTGCAGGTGTTCTTATTAAGTTCTTAAGCATTACTTAATCATTATTGTTTATTTTGGAAACCCAATTTAAATAAAACATTGTTAGTCTTAGTCATCATCTTAAAATATGAGATTAGTTCACTTGCTATAAGCTACCGAGCATGTGGATAATGAACCGTAGGAGCTTAATATATGTTTGCATCTAGAAGGAAATATGATTTGGAGCCGATATTCTGAACTAATCGACCAGTCTCTCAGCTGGAAGGTAAAGATGGTTGCTTCAATATAAAATCATTCAAACAAAAAAATCTGATTTAACACTGTATAAAATATGTAGAAACCTACATATCCTCTGTTTGTTTGCTAAGAAAATGCAAGAAAAAAAAAAACAGAAAATTTCATTTTGAGGTCACCCACTTAATAACATTAGTATTTTTTTAAAAATTGAAATCACTTGGGTTTCTGTGGAAATTCAAGGACATAAGGGCAAAAGTTTGAGTCTTTGTTTTATAATTATGTTGGATTGAAAATTCGGTGCCTTTGTTCTTTCTTGCATGTGCTTGGAATTACAATGAAAATTTTCTTTCATTCTTTTTTTTTTTTGTTGTTGAAGGGTTTGAGCATGAGGACAAAGGTGATTTTGCAACCTCACCAAAGCATTTCAGGTAAGAACCATATCCTTGAGTTGCTCTTTTGGACCAAAATTAAGCCTTTTGTGTGATGGTTTATCATCTGATTGGGTTCTATATTTGAGCTTATGGATTGGTTCATGGTGGATTTGATTTTGCACTCAGAGTTGCTTGGGTGAAACTGATGACTCTGTGCATTGCAGTACTACAACAACAAAATGGCGGAATTACATCTATTCGTGGACTTTGAAATAGAAACAAGGTTTGCATCTTTTAATCGTCTCCACTGTATTTCAATTTCTTTCCCTTTTATTAATTTTGATTATATTTCACCCCTGTGATGGGATTGAACATGCTTTTGAATTGGTAATGGGAGTTGACTGTTTGTGCTTGAACAAAGGCTTGCCATTGGCCTTGCTGTTGTCGTAGGATAGAGCCAGCGTATATGTACAAAAAGTTACGGTATACATTATTCTCTCTCCCTCTCTTTAATTTCAGTTTTTTTTTTCTTTAATAGAATTTCGTCAAATATGTTGGTTCTGGATTTTTGTTGTTGAAGAAATATACAATAAAGGTGTTCTATGACGTTCAGTGTTCGTAAATATCTTTTGTAGAACAACACAGGATGTTGACTGACTTTGAAGGTGCTACAAGAAAAATGAAGTAAGGTTACGCATCTGGTCTAGCAAAGAGGTTTGTCAATCGTTCTCTCATCCACAATTTTTTTTTTCTTTTAATAAGTCAATTACATCTCAGCCTTAAATTCACTTTATTTTATTTTATATATTTATGTTAAATTTAATGAGAATTTCTGTTACAGAATTCTGAATTATGCAATTTTTTTTTCCATTTAAGGGCACTGGGATGCTTAGGGGTTCTTTTTATTCTCTTTTTCAGTGCATGTTATAACTTAGATAGGTCTGCTTTAAGAAGATTGGTTTTATGTTTTAGATGTAGTTTATTTAGTTAAATATATGGCTACTGGTGAAATGGATTAGCCAAATACTGCATATGTAATCTGCATAAAATTCTTAGCATTGTTGTAAACAATTAGTTTAAGTGGAGGATTGTTGTATGAAATTTGGTAAACAAATATCTAGAAATTAGCTTCACAGTTTCTTAGGTTCCATTTAATTTGGTTTTTGTTTTTGTGTGATATATTTCTCTTAGGGTGTGTCAAATGGTAAAGCTGCAAGCATCCATTCCACGATATAATGCAATAGACTTATTCCAAAACTTAAGTCTATTGTTTTGATTGAGTGTTTTAGTGCTCATATTCAAGTCATTTTTTAACTATAAATCCCTAATTGATGATAATTCCTAATATTTTTAATTAGTTGAAATTTTTATAATGAGTTATTGGATGAATGTTGATATTTTTTTTTGTGGATAATGATATATTGGATTGGATTAATATTGATGATTTTGTGTGTGGATCATGTTTTGTTGGATTAGATGACTACGTATGATTATTTGATTTGTTGGAATTTAGGGTTTATGATTTGTTGATTAAATTTTGTGATAGACTTCTTTTCCTTTCTCTGTATGTTCATTTGTCTTAGTTAAATTTGTTTCTAAAAAAAGAAAAGATTTGTTGATTAATTGATAAGACTGTTTGGTTTGATTAATTCATGTGTATGGCAGAAAAGGTTTGAAGCTGCATTTGGAGCCTCATGTGTTTGGCTTGCGAGCTTGATTTGCTTTCCTAGGTTTTAATTCTCTTCTCTCTCCATCTCTGATTTTAATCTATTGGTTTAGAAAAGCTCATATTCAAGTACTTTTTAAACTCTAAATCCCTAATTGATGATAATGCCTAATATTTTTAGTTAGTTGAAATTTTATAATGAGTTATTAGATGAATGTTGATGATTTTGTTTGTGGATAATGATATATTGGATTGGATGAATATTGATGATTTTGTGTGTGGATAATGATTTGTTGGATTATAGATGACTATATTTGATTATGTGATTTGTTGGAATTTAGGATTTATGATTTGCTGATTAAATTTTGTGACAGACTTTTTTTTTTATTAACTTAATAATCTGTTTATCCATGATGTGTAAATAACATAATATCATATTAAAATTTTTTAAGGGGTGTTTTGAATCAAGTGCTTCCTTCAATTCTTCAGGAAGACGTCTATTTTGGTAAACTAAATTGAGTTGGAGCTTATGGGGTTAAACTTTTTGCCATATTTTTTTTGCGCAGTTTCTTTTCTTATTCTTATATGCAGGAATGATTTTTATTTTTATTTTTTCAGTTCCAAACAGATTTACATTACTTTTCTCTTGCTGAAATTGTGAAATATATGTATATAGGGGAACCTAGATTAAGAAATAGCAGTTACGCATTATGCCCTTTTCATAAAATTCTGTATATTTTTCTTCTGATTTATTTTCGGGCTTCCATGAAATTTTGATCTAGGATGCAGTGATTTGAGGTGTAACTTTGCGCTTACTAGATCTCTCAACTCAATCTTAGGTAATGAACTCTACAACCCATGTTTAGGGTTTAGGGTTTAGGCTTTTCAATACCTCTTTATTGCTTCCACTCCATGATGCTAACTTTATTTTGGTTTCTTTTGTTTTGTAGATGAAGTCGGTTTTAGCAGAACATGACTATATGTAAAGACCTATCCAAACTCTTTTGAACAATGAGCAGCTCAGTATTGTCGATATTTTGATGTTTTGACTGCTACTTGATTTATTAAAATATGGCCAATATTTTGACATGACAAACAGCATAAAAAAACATGTTATTATCCTATTTTTTGTTACTTAGACTTGCTAAACAAAGCAAGATACCACTATTTAGATCTCCATGTCAATATAAATAGTACCATTTTTCCTACATATTTTCATAACTTTGTATATATTTTACACAGTTTTAAAACCCGCAGCATCGCGCGGGCATCATTGCTAGTAATCAACTATACGTACCTTATAGACTGAGCCAAAACCGCCTTTTCCAAGCTTGTTTTCGACGGAGAAATTGTTGGTGGCTGCTGTTATGGTTGGTAGATCAAAGAATGGTAAATCTGAGTTTATTCTACTTTCATCAATTTCATCAACATCTACAGAAGAGTCTTCCAAGTAGGCTGACCCTGTAGCAAGTCTAAGTGCAAACTTATGTTGTCTTTGTTTACCTGCCATTAAATAGAGTCTTATAGCATAGCCTTTTTGCCATGAACAATGTGAGAACTCAGTAACATCCAACTGCCCTAAACTTATGTTTCTTAACATAGTTTGTGAAGCTCAGAAACAGATGATCTTAACATAGTTTGTGAAGCTCCAATCATTTCCAAAAATGAAAATAAAGACCCCAAGAATTTCAGACAATCTGAATGCAGTATGTTAAGTTGTTAACTACTTACACAATGAGAAAGCTTTTAAATTATAGCTTTTTCTCATTAACAAACAATAATTAGAATTAGTGAAAGTAAATTAGTTTACCTTTTCTCTTCCTCTTTGCCAGCCCAAACACAATGCAGAACAAGAGAAAGAACACTAGACCAGATGCTAGTGAAACTGCCAGCTTCCCCTTACGGCCAAGAGAACCATTTGACTTCATTGCATATTGTGCTGCAGAGATACGAAAGGACCAATGAGAGAAAATTGAAATTAAAATAAAACCCAATTAACTTAAGATTAGGAACTCAATTTTTGGTGTTTATGGAAAATCCCAAAAATTCTATAGAAATTTGGCATTAGTTTTTATTTTTATTTTTACACAAGCGATATTAAAAGAGGGGGGATTCGAACTCAAAACTTTGAGTGCAAGAGTAATTACTCTTAACCACTTTAGTTACAAACTTATTGAGAAATTTGACACTTGTTTGTTGAACAGAGAAAAGAAGATAAATTGATGAAGGAACCATACCTAAAACAGTTGCATTAACTCGAACATATAAATCTTGACCCACATTCGAATAAGTGCTCGTGTCCACCAAGTCCCCGTGCCATGTCACGCACCCGATCCCTCCCTTTCTTTCATCTGCATTTGAGTACGCCATGCAAGAACAATTCCTCAAGCACTCTGCTTTGCACGCTTCCAGACCCATACTCAAGTTCACACGTGCTGCCGACGAGTTTGGCACCTTTACACGTGGCACCTTCACGAACCCTTCCCCGTTTCGACAAAGGGACGCTCCTTCTGTACTCACGCACCCATGCAACCCGTCTAGCAAATACGATTCGTGGAGCAGCTTGGGTTCGAAACCGGGTAGGCACGTGCACTCGAACTTATCCGCACTGGACGGGTCACAATTGCTATTTGCACCACACTTCCCATATACATCACATTGCTCTTCCGGAGCCGACCAAAACTTGACCCACTGGTGCACCTGATTATGCCACGTGGACCGTTCAACGATTCCTAATTCATCAAGCACCATCCGCGAGAAAATTGATTCATCCGTGATAGTAAACACGACAGATAGCTCATCTTGATTGTTCACAAAAGTGACGTTCATTTTGGCCACACCGCTCCATCTCTCCCCGCTCCATGCCCCAGGTGCCCCGGCACGCCAGCGCGGGGCATGATCCTTGTATAAAAACAGCTGCGGAAACCCACTTGGGTCAATCCCATACGAACAGGTACCAGTTCCCGGGTCATCTTTGGACTTCCAGGATGTGAGAAACCGGTTCAGCTTGGACCGCCGGTCCAGCCCAAGTTTCATAAATGGGAGCAGTGTGTTAGAGGGATAATCAAAGCCTTGCCAGAGAGGACTTTGGCTACCGTTTTCAAGCAAAACAAGGTTCCCTGTATCCAAGAGCTTGGCTGTGGAGTTGTTTGGTGAAGAGACTGTGACATTAGCGGACCAAAGAGGGCTGCTTTGGTTCTTCCAGTAGATGACAAGGCCGCCATGGCTGTTAATGGCTAGGAGGCCAGAGGTATCAGTGACAGGGTTGTCTCTGTTTGCAACCCAGACGATGGTTTGCTCTGGAACTTTGTTGTACCAAACTCCAACATAGCGTTTCTGAGAATTGCCGGGACTGAAGAACCCAAGTGCAAAGATTTTCTTGCTAGACACCAAAACGTCGCCGTCTCTGAGGGGTTGGTTTGGCGTAATGGTGTCAAGGGAAAAAATGCAAGAAGGGAGAAGAACAAGGAAGATGAGCAATATATGGGTGATCATAGTCCTACACCATTTTGTAAAGTCCATGGTTGGTTTTCTCAGTGATGATTTTGATTGCAATGGGAAATAAATATGAGATTTTTATTTTTATTTTTAATTTTTTTATTTAATAAAGCTGAAATTGATACGCTAGAGGTAGAGGGTAGCTGAGATTTTAAACACACAGAGGTCCACCTGGGAGTGGTTGTAAAAAGAGAGCATGACATAGACACTCAACCAGTGGCGGATCCAGGATTATGTGGCCAAGGGGGCTTAGTGTAAAAGTTCCAAAAATTTTCTACAATGAAAATAATGCTAAAAAGATAGAAAGATAATACTTCCATTCATAATTCATAACAAAACCAATAATACAAGTTACAATTGTCCACGACGAGATTTCATATTTTGAAAACGTTGCATTATAGTTTCATTATCAATACAAGCAAAAACATCTCTCTCAATGTAAACAATCAAACTATCATTTAACCATTGATCTCCCATTCTGTTGCGAAGTGAATTTTTAATAATATTCATGGCGGAAAATGCTCTTTTCACTGAAGCAGTTGCAAGGTCCCTTTTGTAGATATGCTCTTCTGATCTCAGCTCAAATATTAGGACTATAATCCGCCATTCGAGTTCTTAGTCCAGGGTCTGCCTGAAGATTAGCTAATATTTCATCTACTTCAATTGGTCTTGCATTTGAACTACCCGGATTAGACGGAGAAGAACTATCCGTAGATAATTTTCTTTTAAAGAATCGTTCCATAAATCTACAAATCAATTAATTCAATCAATCAATAATTTTTATCCAAATTATCATATGAACATGAAAATGTCAATAACTCACTCTCAATATTCAATATGCCCTCTAAACCCATATCAACCAATATTCAATATATCAAATTATCATATCAAATATCAATCAATATTCAATATACTCAATAAAGCATAAACTCAATCAATCTATTACCCATCAATATTACCCCCTAAACCCATATCAAATTCAATATCTACCAAATTATTATATCAAATATCAATCAATATTCAATATAATCAATCAAGCATAAACTATCAATCTACATTATCCATCAATATGAATTCATATCCACAAATTTCATTACAAAAAAAAAAAAAAATACCAATATCAACAATATATATTATCACTATAAATTTATTAATATACCCAATAATGCCTTGCTTACTTGTAGTTGAGAAAAAGGCCGGTGGACGGCGGCACAAGGTGGTGGTGATCGACACTATTCCACCGGAGAAGAGTTGATGGAGGTTGGGAGGTTAGGGTTTGAGAGGGTTGGACTTGGAGCTGTGAAATTGGGGGAATAAAGGGTTTGGAGAGGTGCTGTGCAGCAGAGGGATCGGGTAAGTAAGAGAGCTGTTGTTCCCCTTTTTTTTTTTTTTAAAACCTGGCCCAAAACGACGTCGTTTTGAGGCCAGGTCATTTAAAAAAAATTTGACTGAGCCTAGACCAAACGACGTCGTTTGGCAAGGCTGATTTTGAAAAAAAAATAGCGCAGCCCAGCTGCGCAGCAACAGAAGGAGAGGTTTCGCCTGGGACTTCCATCGAGCAGTTGGTGTGCATACAAGGGGGCTTCTACCAGCAATCCAAGGGGGCTCTAATGGATTCCCTTCCCAAATTTCCAGCCTTCCAAGGGGGCGTCTGCCCCCTCTTGTCCTAACGTCGGTCCGCCTCTGCACTCAACCAGAGTCTTAATTAGCTGTGTAGTTATTGGGTGGAGTTTTCTTCCTTTGGCAACTTAGAAACGTGTTGCGAAATGTAAATTTGAAAGCTTTGTTAACAGAGAAAGCTTTGGTATAACTCGTTTGTTAGAATATATAACCATATCGCCCATCCATATTATAATACGTGGACGAGTTACAGCAGCCTTGCTACGCAGTAAAGTGCACGTACATGTGGGTTTTTGGCAAGTCATTAGACACAAACAAGTTTAAACACTTAAATCAATCTCAACCACATGATTTCATTGAAATAGATCCAACAACTAAGCACCTCATTCCTCAAATGATGACACTGAATCTCTCAACTACATGCATGGCACTATATATATATTCTTCAGCAAGAATATTCTAATTGCCCCAATAATATCTGCATTCCTATGTGCAGACATTGCTTGTCACATGCGTACGTCCCCATCATTGACTTAACGCTAGCTCTTCAATTACTCATGTAGATTTTTTTTTTCAAGTGCCCATAGAGATAAGACTTCCATATATAGGGCTCACCTCAATTAAATGTGGTTAGTAAAGTGGTACACGATTGTTTTTATATATGCTTAGATTTTTAATTTTGCAAAAATAATGCATCCAACTAACTCAATCAAAAAAGTTGCATCCAATTAATGATGTTCTTGGAATATTGATACAAAATAAATTAGATGTTAAAAAGATATTTAATTTTGCAAAAATAATGCATCCAACTAACTCAACCAAAAAAGTTGCATTCAATTGATGATGTTCTTGGAATATTGATACAAAATAAATTAGGTGTTAAAAAATATTTAATATATGAATATGATCTATTATGACAAAGACTCATCATCACAATCATGGTGATTATTCAAAAGGTGTAACATCCCTGATCCAATTTAATCGATTTAATCAAATTGAATTCTTTTGTGAAATTTCAATTTTGCCCTTGGGAGTAGGGGTATTTTGGTCACTTTAAGAAAAAAAAACATTTATTGTATGGCATTACGTAATGGTGTAAGTTTGTGTTAGCTTATGTGAGGCCCCAGTTTAAGGTTTGCACAGGGCCCTCAAAATCTCAAGACCGGCCATGAGCTTTATACAAGAATCATTGTCGTTGTGATGTTTTGAGAGTGCCAAAGTGCTCTGCGCAGGTTTTATGATGCAGTACGAAAGCACAGGTTTACAAATCGACAAACATCTAAATTCGAAATTATAAACTAAAATCCGTTAATGATTAGAAATTGGAATCCACCAGGAAAATAGAGAAAATCTATAAACTTATTAATAATAAGATTAAACTGATTAATATAAAGCAATGAGTTGGCTTATATAGAAAACCAAGAAATCCTAAAACCATAGGAAACCTAGGTTCCAGAATATTCCTAGCATTATAATTAATGCTCAAGCATGATTTTCCATATTTGAAGCCTAATTTTCTAATTTTGAAATTTTCCTACATCATAATTGTCCTATATCATTGTCCTCCATAATTGTCCTATATCATTGTCCTCCATAATTGTACACGTAGATGACATTTTAGCAGTTGACATTGACAATGACAAACGCAACTCTTGAGATTTTAAGTCTTTCAAGGAAGGACCATAGTATAAAATATCGATAATATCGACAATATAGAGTTCATGAAAATATTGATAAAGTTTGAAATTGCTTGGTTCAGCTAGAGTCTACACTCAAGTGTTTCAAAGAAAAAACCCGGAGCAGGAGATTGAAAAGCAACCGTTTTTTTTTTTTTTTTTTT